GTGTGTGTGTGTGTGTGTGTGTGTGTGTGTGTGTGTGTGTGTGTGTGTGTGACAGAGGTGATAAATAGTCTACTGACATGCCAACAGAAGGTACGGCGAGTCCTCATTGTGTAGGCATCACCCACTATTAATAAGCTACAACGTTTATAAACTCGGTGGATTTTTATTTTATTTATTTGCTCTGCGCACTCAATGTTTTCTACCCAACATTGTCGTGACAGCATATTGACTAAGTGTCAGATTTCGCTTTAGAAAACAATCGTAAAACCCTATTTTCTAAAACCCGCCCCCAAATGACGTTAATGATATTATAGTCAAACCTCCCCCCAACGCATTCCTGTCGATTTCCTCTTTTGTTTTGTTTGTTTATTGTTTGTTGATGTTGAGTTGTTTTGTTGTTGTTGTTGTTGTTGTTGTTGTTTTTATTTTTGTTGTTGTTGTTGTTGTAGTTGTTGTTTTTGGGGAGTGATGTTTTGGTTGGGTTTTTTAAGTTTTGTTTTGTTTATTTGTTTGGTTGTTGTTGTTTTGGGTTGTTTTTTTTTGGGGTGATGGTTTTGTTTTGTATGTCGTGCGCACTGTCGTTAACGACATTGATTATATGTTTATATGATTAGTTGTTTGGTCACCCTAGTGTTGTGTCTGCGTATACTGACCTTTGGGTGACCTTTGGGAGAAATGACCACCTACTCCCAAAGCTTACTCCAGTTTTGCAGGTATCAAGCTCTTTTGAAAATAACCATGTGATGTGTGTCCAGGGACATATTTATTTGTTGCACATAACTGCTTCCCACTCTGTAACAAGGACGTGTAGAGCGAGAATCAGAAAAGTATTCTGAAAATGAGAAGTGCAGTTAAACTGATTATAGTGCTGTCAAAAATTCGTTGCGAAACTTATTCTCAAATATCTCCTTAACTATCGAACATAAGTTCTCCAGTTCTTGTATACAGACTTGTATCAATGTGTCTTAATAGATCAACATTTTTGTAAACACTTACTAGATCTAGCTGTATTCTAGAAAATTCCCTAACAAATACTAGTAAAAAATCCAAGTGGGTGGTTTCTGCTGCTTTTTTAATGTTTACAGCTGGGAATATTGCTTTCAATAGCATGTACGGCATGTTTTTCTAATTGGGGTATTATTTATGCTTATTGAACGCGCGTTTTGAGAACCATTAGTGAAAAAAAATGTATTAACTATAAAAATAATTTCTTGTTACAGGTTTTGCAAGTAAAAATTGTCATTCATGAGCTGTGACGTAGGCCATATGCATAATGAAAATGTGTGTGAGAAGCGGGAAGTGCTGTGAACAATACCACTTTAAGCGTGACAGAGATTTCAAGTATTGTATATAAATTCATGAAGAAAAGTTTTTTTAATCTAGCCCCAATTATTCTGAAAAAATATGATTTTAGTTAAGACAAATTGATACAAACTGAGGTGCAAAGTATGGATGACTTTGATTGACCCGTTATAAAGATATCTGAGGATAAAATTAATTGTGCCTCGAATATTTTTTACCCCACTATAGTATTTATTAAGAAGGATTTTTTTGGAATACAGTGAGCAAGAGCTTCAAAAATAAATATTCACCTGTTAAGACAAATTGATGTAATTCATTGTGCAGAAGTTGGAGAATCTATGTTCAATAGTTAAGGAGATATAATTTGTGAGGCGTGCAGGCTGAATGAGTTACTTCTCGCAATCCACAAATAGAGATGGCGGCCAAAAATCGACGCTAGGGTCAATTTTGTAGATTTTCTAATGATGCCATGTTATTATTCTTTAAGACAGTATGACATGCTTTTTATTATTTCGTACTTATAAATTGTAAAAAAAGAAGCTTGGTGCATCTATTTCTATTGGGCACCAATCCAAGAAGTACGACATGTAACTCATTTTGTCAGCACGCTTCACGTTTGACAATAAGTTGTGCCTCGAATTTTTTACCGCAATTTTATAACAATAGTTGCGCGAACCATGCCTGCTACGTTAGCGTCTCTTCACATATCCAGCAGCACCGCGCAGATTCTTATCTTACTTCAGAAAAAACTCTACTTCAGAAAAACTCTCACCACAGTTACCGCCACAGAAGTGGTAACTATCTACACGGAGCATTGGCGAGATACAGGCATTGGTCCAGTGAGCCTCAAAGGGTCATTTTTAAGGACAAGCCGGGTAACCCAGATTTCGGGGGATTCTAGAAATTTTGATCTACATCAAAAGTGGACATTGAACTACCTATAGAAGAAGTTTGGTTTCATTTGCGTGTATATTTGTTTGGTTATAAGGAAACTCTCTTTGACTTTCAAAGAAACTGAACAAGGGGCAAAAACGTTACCTTCGATTTTCTCAAAACAGTAATTTTCAGGATAGCCCCATTGTTCTTAAAGGCGACCAAATAGTCT